AGATTATTCTAGTCAGCAAGCATCTAGGAGTCTGATACTGTCTGCCCCGTTGGGTCTCAGAATCGCCAGAATCTCAGTCACCACAACGAACCTCAATCGACTCCGCCTCCTTTGCACCATGATTGGTCAGTAACTCTGGAGGCCAACTGCTATGGCAACTCTCTTTCCGAGTCTGTGGCTACAGTGCGATTGTGGTATTGGAACTTTGAAGCAGTGGCAAAAGTTCAACGTCCATGAGAAGACCTCTTCGAGGTCCAATCACTCCTACAGACAGAATTCTACTATCAGTTACAGTTTCTTCCTCTCGTTCATAAGTCTTTTCATTCGTAGAAGTGTCATTTCTCCTCATAAAATGTTTAAGTTTAAATCACGCAATAGTTAAGAAAAGTACAGTAAAATGCATTCATAGAAAGCTCCACAATAAAAAATCATGACCCTGGCACCAAACTTCGTCTTTACTATCTTATTCTGGCGTACTTCCATCTAAACTGTTTATCCTGTTGGAGTGCATAGAAAACCACAATAATAATTCTGGATAAGACTGTGACGATATACAACCGTATACAATAGCGTAATCTGTTCTAGAGTGAATGAACTATCTATGTCACTGTTGGTCGGTCATCTCAGTAGTAAAACATGAGGATGTACCTTAAAAGTATCACTTGACCAGTCAATATAGTATATAACTGCCCGTCTTCAATGTGTATCCTATTATACAATATTCTTTTCCATCAGAAAGCAGCATAAATAGCTTTTGTATTTTTGGCATTAAGTTCTAACAGCTAAATAACCCACGAGAAAGCACATGTGACACCAGTGGAGAATGAACCAGAACAATAGGTAGCTAGATGAAAGAAATTTCAATGACTGAAGTCATATTTTTAAAACTATACATAATGAGAGAAATGTGCAAGTGCGAAAACGTTTGAAAATTTTGGTTGAACGTGAAACACACACCTTACTATAAGTCTTAAAACTACCTAGTTTTATAAGCTTTGTATGAAACATTAGTCTACAAAAAAGCCTAAGCGCCCTAGTTTTAAGAGTTGCGAGTTAACTCTAAATAGTGTTTCAAAATATTTTCCTCGTGAGACATAATTTTTACATTTTATGATGCATCACTCTATAAGCTCGAATTGTACATTACAGACTGTTAGTTTAAAATTCGTGCACATTTTGTTTGCTTATAACTTAAAGACGTTATTAGTTGTTAATATAGTCAATCATATAATCAACGAAATCAACAACGATCAGTAAAAATAGATATGACCTAGTAAATTTATGTATTGATATACACACACACTTCAAATGAACAGTTTACCAACACGAAATTCGCAAACATTTTTAACAAGGTCTTGCATATGTTTTGTTCAGTTATTATTTCTATAAATAAAAAATAAGGGCAAACTATATATATCTCGAGTTCAGTTAATAAACAGTAGATTTGTTTGCTTTATTTCAGTCTTAAAAAATGAGTGACACAAGAAAATAGTTATCTATATTTATACACATTTAAAAATACTCAACTCAGTTTGCAATTCCAAGGATGAATAAGCATATAGTATCAAGATGCATGTATACTTCAGCCAAACAAAATATAAACACCTGCGTTGAAAGGGTCGTGTTAATCTTATCGTGTGGAGTTTGATGTCAGTTTTAACTATGCACATTAATCTAGGCAAAATGACTGGGCTTACAGCTGACGGTATCGTGAGAGAAAATAAGACTACATATATAACACAAGTTATTTAAAGATGTGATAAGCACTGAGTATGCCGAGCAGGATATGTAACTAATTAAAGTTTCTTAAAATGACACACAAAAATCGCCTCTTACGTTATGACATAAGGTGGGTGAGCACTTAGAGTTAGGTTGAATATATCTTTCAGCTTGGTGTAATATAAACAAAGGCACGTTCTTGTATGTACAGATGTATGGGGACAAGCGTCGATGAGATAAAGCAGATAATAAATACACGCTCTCAATATAACGAAAAATTTCCCCTGAAATTCTTTCTTTTCCCCTATACAAATGGGCTTGGATAAAAACAATAAAGAGACACGATTCTAGTTACCTTGTGGCGGGGTGAAAAATAATCATTACTTTATGTCACGAAACTAAGGACCCCTCCTTGAAAGAGTTTATACTATAAACAGAAAGTTGAATATGCAAATCAGCAATTCCCATGACAACACACAGCCGATATAAAGTCGCGATGTAACGTAATGTACCAGAACTACAAATCTGTATTGCCATTTCGTAGGAAGTGTTATGTTACCGTAAAGGTATCGCTTTTAGAAACGGTATGTAACACTCCTTTTCAACGCAAAATATTCGCACATAAAGGTATGTTCAGACCATGAATTTATAGCTTTAAAGACGGAGATATTTCTTGTACTAAGTGATATTGGAAGACAAAAAAATATGGATCAACTTGAGGCACCAGGACCATCCAGCTAGAGATTTGCGTGCAAAAAAGTTTCATACCCCAGCAAAATGTGGAGTGTTGTAACAGGAGAGAATTCACGAACACAAATATCAGTGACAAAGGCTCCAGGTGTCCAAGGCAACAGTGCGTAACACAATGAAAAATAATTTCCGTTTGTAAAACCGACACAAGCTGCTTCAACGACATATTAGTTCAACCATCACATAACTCCAGCAGTTGGAAAATGAAATAGGTATTCATGCTATCCTATACGCAAACATAGCAGTAAACTTGCCTTTGGATTTTTGTGCAATCGGACTGTTGAAACAGCCCCTGGAAAACCATCGGTCTTGTACACTAGGTGGATCATAGTAAGCAATCAGAAAGCAGTGGTGTGCTTTCGACAAGACAGCTTTATGACAGAGCATTTTGCAAATGAAATTTTTGAAAACATGGTAAAGAGCTAATAATGGCTGGAGACGGCTTAAATG